AGACGAGCGCATTGATCGGTCTCGGTGATCTAAGATCATTTTATTTATTTATTTGAAAATCAACGGCGTTTACAAAAGTATTTAAATATAGTGTAAACCAACAGTAAGGCTAATTACAGATTTTCCATAAATTAATTTACAGTATATTGTGTTTACGGTCAGAAACATTCAACTGCCTTAAGCTAGGTGAAATCCATACTTTCAAACAATACTGAAAACAATTATATTTCAGCTTCTAAAACTCAACAAAATGCCTTCCAAAGATATAGGTAAAAACAAATCTTTACAGTTAACTGGCCACGAAATGCTAACCATTTTATTATATTATATCTTGCCCTGCATAACTGCACACAACCACCTAAAATATTTTCAAGATTTAAAGTTAAATCGTGCTGCTAAGTAAAAAATAAAAATTACATAATGATAATCACTCAAGAACAAATATAAAATAATATGACAGATATTTCTTGCATAAACAACCACGTACCAATGCTACACAGTATGCCCTAGAATGTTATCAACAATTCTGGATTTAAATGAAATTTTGGAGTAAGCAAAAAGACCGATTTTTGAAAACTTATCATTGTATGTTTGGCACAAACGCGAAAGAATCGAGTTTTTTCCGTAATTGGTTGGGTGAAACGGAACATGAAGTAGAGGGGTATGTCGAGTTTGTCGACGCGGCGCGCTCAGTCCCATCCTCGCCAACAGATCCGGAGAGTCTAACCTGCCATTTATTATATCGTGTAACAGATTCATATCTAAAACCGTTCTTCTTTCATCCAATGTCAAAATAGCATTATGGCGAAAACTATCTAAATAGGAGTTTGAAATAACTCGTAGTCTGTAATCTGGATGCTTTATAAACCTTTTTTGAATATGCTCTAATCTTTCCGAGTGCAGTTTGAAAAGGGGTGACCAGATGGGACTTGCATATTCTAAAATTCTACGCACCAGTGCATAGTAAATGGATTTTAAAGCAAGCAAATCTTTAAAAAGTTTACATACGCGCAATAAATAACCTAAATTTTTGTATGCCTTTGCAGTAATATAGTCAATGTGTTTAGTCAGCGTAAGTTTTTGATCAAATATAATTCGGATCACGCATGCAGTCTACTCTTGTAATGGGGACACCATTAAAAGTATAAGTAAAAGAAATGGAGTTACGTTTCCGTGTGTATGTAATGAGTTGACATTTTGTTGTATTTAAATTAATTTTGTTTTTGATGTAATAATTATATAAACGATCTAAGTCCGATTGAAGCAATCTACAATCTTCCAAGGTTCTAATTTCAAAGAAGATTTTCTTGTCGTCATTAAGTGATGAGCATTTTCAAAGCACGACATTATATCAAATAAATACGCGTTATAAAAAGAGGTCCTAGGTGCGATCCCTGCGGAACACCCGAAGGTATGTCAATAAAATCGGACCTGAATCCACCCACCACAACTGCCTGTGACCGCTTGGAAAGATAAGACTGCGTCCAACGAAGCAAATCTCCGTGTATTCCAAGGTTCAAGAGTTTGTTTAGGAGGATGAGGTGATCCACACGATCAAAAGCTTTTTCAAAATCAGTATAGATCATGTCAACCTGTCCACCACCCTCCATGCACTTGTACACATAATCAGAAAAACAAGCTAAGTTGGAAACTGTCGAGCGTCTTCGAAGAAAACCGTGTTGGGTATGAGACAAGCAAGCCTTTACAAACAACAATATATATATGATTGTAATTGTCGTATATTTGTAATCATGAAGGTTCCTTTCCCAGCGTTGAATAATAAGCCCCCATAAAGTTTCAATATGGTTTAAATCAGCAGACTGAGGGGGCATTAAATGGGACGAATGTCACGTTGCAGGTTGAACCACGCCATAGTAGCACGGGTCGTGAGTATCCGTGCATTATCTTGAACATAAGTAATGTCCGGGAATTCTGTTGCAGGATACACTACGCGCACAGTAGGCAGCATCACTTTTGCCAAAAGCGATACAATTAATGGCAGTAGCCCTATTCTCTAACGACGCCAGTTCTCCGACGCCGTCGAGGCTCATCCACCCCCATAAGTTTCTTGTTATGCGACCTTACTCGTTTTGAGGCACGATATGAGCATAATAACTTTTGAAAGGTAATAAGTTACTTGATATGGCATTTTAGACTTTAGTGAAAAAAGTGTGATATAGAATCTAATTTCAAAACTGGTAATAATTTTCTGACCGCGACCGTACATACATGAACCCTGTAAACATTACACTCTTTTTTGGCAGCCGTGTAAAAAAGGCTTCGATGACTTTGAGTCAACTTAGGAGATAGGCACAAATTTAGTAATCCGTTGAAGTGATAAATGAACTTAGGTTTAACTTGGATAATTAGAATATGTACACACAAAATCTACCTCACGCCACTTCTGTTGACGTTGTATATTCGCAGGTGTCAATGATCGCAAATTTTATTAAGAAATTGGATACTCAAATAGAGATGGTATAAATGGTGTTACTTTTAAATTTGTTTGATATATTTGTTAGAAAAGCGATGGATATTAAGCTTGATTTGGAATGCTACAGATTAGCCTACTGATGTATCCTCTTAATTCTAGAAAGATTTTTTTTAAACAACATCAATCAGTTGTGATGTGACAACTCGATGACGTAGTGTTCATGGCATTCGGTCTAGGATGGTAGCAGTTAGGAACTTTTGCTATTGCCAGTCATACGATGGATGACAACAAATTATCTATCTTGAGCTTTCTGTACTTCAGAAAGCATGTTAAAGCCTATAGATGTAATCCAGCGTACCATCCAAGGTGACCTTGATGGGAAGTTGGTTTCCATCCATCTGCGATTTTCGGCTACACAGATGTAATCCACGCGCCAACACGCAATCGCGAGCTGTCTTCTGGCGTGAAAACACGTATGCACTTGTATCATGCGCGGACTGTATTAGTAACCGTGTTTTAGAAATTTCTTCAAATTTGTCTAAATTTAAAAAAGTGGGCATTGCCTTAGGAGTTTTGTGTGCAATAGACGACGAAAAACAACATAAAAGCCCTCCTTTGTCTAGATGGATGGCAACGGGCAAGGTTACCTTGGTTGGTACGCTGGATTACATCCGTCTGACATAGGTCTTAAGCCGTTGGTCTAGATCAAGTACAATCAGTACGCATAATAAACAATTCCCCTTCATTTGTGTGCAATATCTCAATTAAATCAGTTTAGTCTTTTTTTGCGTGATCGCGTAACATCCATAGCTATCTTTCACATAAACATATAAACATTATAAGAATCTTTTAAGTTTCATTATATGTTTTGTTTTAAACATTTAACTAAGACAGACAGGATTTTAAACTGCAGCTTTCGCCCGGATAGCGGAAGCTGCATGATCTAATCCTATCTAATGGCTGGACCGAAGTGGTCCGACCTCCGTCGTCGAGTGGTTCGTGCCCCGGGTTTCATGGTGTCGCCGACTCCAGAGGTCCCTGGTTCGAATCCCAGCGGGGGCACATGTTTGTGTGATGAATACGAGCATTTGTACTCCAGTCATGGATATTTAATATGTATTTTTATATAAATATACTTATATATGTACAGTATAATGCGATTCAACTAAGAATAGGTCCCACTGGGCTCCATATTGTTATGTCATAGCTGTCAATTCAAACCAAGTAGGTTAAGTGAGCAAAAAAAAGTTTTTTTTAATAACATTTATTTACTAAGACTGAGAAAAAAAACACCGATTTTTAATAATATTTATTTATTAAGTCTGTAAGAAAAACATTAATCAGAATCTAGCTCTGCTCTGCATTACCACCGGAGTAGTTATGAATAATCATGCACTATTACTATGTCACATACGAACAGGCATCCTTTATGTAAACGAAAGTTTGAAATCGAGTTTCTGAACGCAACTTAAAGTGACATTTGGTTGACAATTTAGGTTATTAACCATGGCCAAAGCTCAATAAGTGAAAAAAAAATATATCAACCGACATTAATTATCAATATTTGTTATTGTTTGTTTACAAATGTTTGGTTTTTATTCTTGAATTAGCGGAGTGCTAAAAAAGGGTTCCAAGTTTTTTTTTTTGCAAACCGTACTTTTCAAGCGACATTTGACAGATAGAGGTCATTGGCTTTCCTATTCTTAATTGAATCGCATTATATATGTTTTGTATCCGTCACCCTAGCATCCCATTACACAAGCCTTAAAGTGCTGACTTTGGGGCTAGGCTAATTGATGTGAGTGTTGGAAATATTTATTATTATTTATTATGTTCTAGTATTTTTTTTAAGTTTTGTTATTAATTTCTTTTTTCTTTGCTCTTTTCCACTTTATGTGGGATTTTTGTTCCGCTGTCATTAGCTGCGTCATACTGGTCCACTAGGTGACGGGAGGGGGCCCTTTGGCTCTTCTTTGCTTAGGAATTAATAAAACCTTTCTGACCTCATGTTCATCGTCTCGTCGCATCATGTGGGCCAAACGACAACAGAAGTTTTGTTATTTATTGGCTCCTAAAATATCTATTTAGATTTTCTCGTTAAATACTTTTCCGTCATACCTACACACAAACTAGCCTCACGGAACTAAACCATTAGTAATCTAATAATTCCTACTCGGGGCTCTTGGTCGCGACTCGCGATCACCACGCTTGAATGCCCAATACCTTCCTTCGACGCGTGCGCACACTTAGTTAGATAAAATCGTACCAAGCCAAACACGATCTATTGTCTCAACATTCAAGTGTTGTTTTACAATATTCCAATCTTTGCGTGTGGCCTTCTAAAGCGCATGAGGATTGCAAGGACGCGAACAACAAATTCCTAGACAAATCCGTGACATTATTCTCATTTAGTATAGTAAATTGAACATGTCGAATTATTCTCAGTAGTCTATACTTTGTAAATTTAATTATGTATTGAGCGAAGCTATTTAAATATTTACAGTTTCCCTGTGATTTGATTCAGCTATTGAGAAAGGCAAAACACACAAGAAAGAACTATGTAGATGTTCATAATATTTATTATTTTGGTTATCAATTAAAATTTATTATTGATTATTGATCATCTATAATATAAATAATGTTACACCCGATGGGGTGTTTCAGTAAGTAAGTTCGACTTTGTTTATTCAAATATAGACGGAACTGTGAAGCGATGTTATCTCTTATCGAAAGCATCGAAAATGACCGCAGTTGCGCACTACATACTACGGCCACGAAATTCTTTCATTATGACCGCCACATACGCGCCGAGGTCACACATTTTATTGACAACTGACATTGTTCTAACAGATATTATTACGTGTTGAATTCGCCTTACCTTTAAATGATATCCGGTCAGTATAAATATGAGGGAGTGCAACGCAAATTTATCAGTCGACCGTGTGCGGTTTGAAGTGATCTAGTTCGTCAGAAAAACACAGACCACGTTCACTATGAAATCGATGGTGGTGTTGTTCGCTTTGGTAGCAGCGGTGTGCGGCTCCCTGGTGCCGCTGGCTCAGCCCCCGCATCACCCCGCCGTGGTGCTGGACCCCCACGGCCGCCCGCTCGACACCGCTGAGGTCATCGGAGCGCGCGCCCTACACCTTCAGGCTAAGGCTCTGGAAGGCCACTACGCAGGCCACTACGCACCTCTCGCTCACTCCGTGGTTGCTCACGCCGCTCCTGCTGTGGTTGCCCATGCCGCCCCCGCCCTGATCGCCGCTCCCGCCGCAGTGTCCCACCAGTCCCGTGTTGATGTGCACACCAGCCCCGCCGTCGTGTCTCACTCTGTGGTCGCCCCTGCAGTGGTCGCCCACGCCGCCCCAGTGCTCGCGCACTCCGCCTACGCCGCTCCCCTGGCTGGTCACGGACTTCACGGACTCCATGGACTCGGACATTTGCTGAAGAAGCGCTCTTTGGGCCACCTCGCCTACGCTGCCCCAGTCGTCGCTCACGCCGCTCCCTACCTTGCCCATGCTGCTCCCGTTGTTGCCGTGGCTCCTTCTGCCGTGTCTCACCAGTCCCGTGTGGATGTGCGCACTAGCCCCGCCGTAGTGTCCCACTCCGTGGTCGCCCCCGTGGTTGCTCACGCCGCCCCCGTGGTCGCCCACGCCGCCCCTGTGGTCGCCGTAGCTCCTTCCGCCGTGTCCCACCAGTCCCGCGTGGATGTGCGCACCAGCCCCGCTGTGGTGTCCCACTCGGTCGTCGCTCCCGTAGCACACAGCGTATACGCCGCACCCCTCGCGCATTCCTACCATCATTCCGCTCCCTTAGTCCATGGCTGGTGAATAGCGAACCTGACGAACCTAAGAATTAGTGAATAAGAAAAATGTAAAAAAAAAGAAATAAATAAATTATCTAAAGTTTAAATCAAGTACTGTTTTTCAATTATTCTACAGCACCATGTCAAAATTCTTCAGATAAATTTAGACTTACTTTGGTAGATAGTATAGAATACTGATCTGCGAGTTTTTATACATAGACCAACTTATTCTTCCTACTACAGCTCAGTTTTTTTTTTTTTTGTTTAAAATATATTAGACTTTTCGTTAGAATTATAAATAAGCTAAGTAGTTACTAAAATAAATTCGTCATTCACGCAGAAAATGTAACAAGACGTTGTATCAGAATGAATCACTACAAAAAGACAACAAAAACAACCTAGAATGCGGTATTTATAGCCTTTTTTTCTTGAACTACGATAATAGAATAATGTGCTAAATTCTTTAAACGGATGTAAAGAGATACGGTCAGTCATTCAACCTAGTACACGACATGGGAAGCAAGAGTAGGCAATGGCAACCCTAAAAACCACTCTGCCCACCCTAAAATGCAAGTCGTTGCTCCAGTGCTTGTCTGTTCTATCTGCAACTGGTTAATTTTACAGTCGTCTCCTGTAAAATGAACCCAATTGTAGATATAACAGTTTTTCATTATATTTTAAAAAAGAAGCTTAATCAATTTCAACTAATTACACCTCATTTTGCGGTTTTTTGTGTGGAGATAGAACTAAGATGCACAAACTGAAATTCGGAGTTGGTATTAGAACATTACATTGGAAGGATGGAGGAGGATAATGTGACTGTTTTATCATTACGTGTTTATTGTTCTATGTGCCAAATATAATATACAGGTGATAAATATTTTAGCGTATGAATAACATAAAATTCATAGGCTTAAAATACTTATTTGAGATATTAATATGTTTTCTCAAATTATTTTGAAATATGATTCAAGTTTGAAAGGAGAAATAATATTATTTAATTACCAAATAAGTTTCTAGTAGAACGTCGCTTCGTTATATTTCACGTCGCATTCGCCGAGAAGTTTTTTGTATAAAAAAGCTTTAGTTTTATAGTTTGAATGTTTTTCATAATATATGAACGTCCTAATAATAAATTAGCGTGTGTAAAAAAAATCCTTCATAATAGAAAAAGGCTTTTATTTTAGATATATTTTTATTTTTAAGCATTTAACTGCTAGATGTTAAAATCGAAAGAAAATTGTACTATAAAAAAATCCAGGCAGCAGACACTTCTCGAACTCGCAGCCTCAAAAATACTACAATAAATTCGACACGGCCATTAGGGCCGCAGTATCTTAATTAGGCAGTGCATCCACACGGATAGGACTCGCGACCCGTCTGCTACCTTAAAAGTAAATTTTCGACAAATCGGTCGATAGAACAAATAGCACAAGTAATAAAAAATATTTTAGTCTTGCAGAATGAATGTTAATTCATCTGGATGGCTTTAACGACGAACTTTAAGAGATTAGCAGATTTTCCGCTCGAATTGGAACGTCCTTCTGGGGAAGCAACCTCCTCCGTACAGAAGACAAATAAATAACACTACCTTTTGGTGGTGGTGTTTCTGTAGGTAAGTAAAGTTCAAGGACTCCAAGGGGGAGGGGATTACGTCAGGGCAGGCAACGAATAGACGAATAAAAATGTTGATTCCGCACGTGTATCAAACCACGTGAAGAAACAATAATACGAAAGAAAAAGGGTAAATATTATAAAACGCATATATTTCTTACATTTTGATATATAAACTCAACAAACCAACATAATTAATTAAAACATGTAGAATAGACAATCATAATTGCAACTTCTTTAGATATTTTAAATAATGCTCGGTATAATTAATAAATAATTAAGTAAAATCTGGATTCCTGCTTAAACTCAACTCCCGATTTTCCGAAATGTGGAAAATCTAATGATGGTACACCCCTAGCCCTGGCTGCAAAGTTCACAATTTTACAATGTAAATATATGTCAGTTTTCAACGGGTATGAAGGTATGCTAAAAAGGGAGAGGTGTGTACAACTACGCCACTGGTATGACAGATTTTATTAAAAAAAACCCAATGGTTTACATATTTCAAACATACATACCCCATAACATTTTATAAGTAAAGGTACCTCATGGATTTCAATTTTAAGTGGCATCACTATTGGCCACCTCTAAGATGTCATGAATGGAGGCATGGAGTGGCCAGTACGTAGTCCAGTCTTGAGCCCCATCGAGTATACTTGAGAAATTTTCCTCGCTTCATGAACAAGGAAGAAATAATCGAGGAATCTAAGAATATTCCTTAGCTTCTGCTTAAAATTCTACTGGAAAGCATGCCAAACCATATGGCAGCTGTAACAGAACCACTCGAACCTGAGGGGTCGGCTCAACTAGAGAGCGTCTCTGAGACTCGAACCTCAGCTCTAATAAGCCGTTGTCGTGGGGGGCGGGGAAAAACGCACAGGTACGTACCTGTACCTGGTATAGCGTGTCGTGTGTAGACCGGGTCTTCGCACTCTTATCCTATGGATGTGGTGTCTGCCTAATGCCAAGCTAGTGTTGGTGCTTGTGCCCTGTGTGGAAGAAGTCGGAGGCTTGCTGGCGCGGGTGATTTCGTCGTCGGGGTACCTACTATTGGAGGACGGGAGGGCGGACGTATGACAGCTAGAGGCTTAGACTACTAGGGGATTCGGATGATGCGTGGCTTTATCGAAGTAACCACGCGCAGTGTAAAGTTCCGTAGCTTTTTTTTTAGATTTTGTTTTTCAATTCAAGGTTTTAAGCATTATTAACAAGCAATTACTATATCTAAGACACTTAACGTCTTCTTCTTAGGATTTTTATTTGGTGAGAAATGTTCTATTACATAAGTTGAACGACTATTACTTTTAAACTAACTGACCTATCTTAACCGTTATAATTTTGCTTTAAAGTTCAAAAACAGCACTAACATCATGACTGATTGAAATGATTTTTTCCGATTTTTTAAAGTATACAGTTTCGCTCTCAGTGGGGGGAGGCGCCCAACTCGAAAAAAAATTAGCACTTTACCCAAAAATAATATTTTTCAAAATATTGTGACTGATATGCATACCTCCACAAACATACAGCTGTCTAGTGTCTTCAAGCAAAACCTGTGACCGGCAGATACACGAAAGTGACGAAACTATAACTCCCTTATCAGGACTACGGAACCCTGAAAAAGGAGTCAAACATTACTTTGACAATATCGATAAATCGATTTGGCAAAATTTTAGTCACTCTTTTGTTTACAAAGTAGTCCTACATCACATCAGAAATGTGACCTGATAGGTAGTAAAACATTATAAACATCAAACATTATTATGTATACTATATGTGGTTTTTAGGAACATTTTTGTGGTCTAACGATTTATATTTTACCCTTACTCAAAAAAAATTAGCATTTTAAAGTTCAATATTTCGCAAACGGATCCCTAAATCGAAAAATAGTCTTAGGAACCTATAAGTAATTTTAAAGAATCTATTCAACGATATACCACACGATGGGGTAGATGATGAGAAAAAAAATCATCCCCAGGCTACATGTAGGGAAGATACCCTAAAAAATATTTTTCAAAATTTTATACAACCATTTTGTCGGCGTAATTGATATACATATATATATTTCCACAAAATTCCAGCTCTCTAGTGCTAATAATCTCCAAGCCAAACCGGGGACGTTCAGACGGACATGATGAAACTATAAGGGTTCTTTGTCAGGACTACGGAGCCCTAAAAACCGCAATAACTACTGAACGGATTTGAATAAAATTTGGTACGCAATTATTTAACGACCTGGATGGAGACATAGGATATTTTTTATCAGGACTACGGAACCCTGAAAAAGTAGTCAAACATTACTTTGACAATATCGATAAATCGATTTGGCAAAATTTTAGTCACTCTTTTGTTTACAAAGTAGCCCTACATCACATCAGAAATGTGACCTGATAGGTAGTAAAACATTATAAACATCAAACATTATTATGTATACTATATGTGGTTTTTAGGAACATTTTTGTGGTCTAACGATTTATATTTTACGATTTAAGCTAAGGCCACTCTTACTAACACTTTAATTGAGTTTAGTTTTTTGTCATTAAATGGAAGTTTAAAACTAAATAAAAATGATTTATTTCTTTACCATACATCTGGTTACATAAAAAAGGTAGGCTCTTTTTTTAAGCGTAAAAACACCTGTACCAAAAACAACCCTTCCATAGCAGGAGTTACATTATGGTTAGGTCAATCACTATACACCATTTAGACCACAGAGCTAGTTAAAGTTAAATTTTACTAAGAATTTACCATGACCTGAAATGGAAATTTACGTTAAAACAAGTTGGTGCAACTCACGCTAATCAAATATATATAAAACTAGCTGACCCAGCGACTTCGTACCGCCCTAAAAAAAATAGGGGTTGTCCAGCGGACAAAATTGTGAATCTAAACCATTCTCAGATCCCCTTGAACACGCACAAAAAATTTCATCAAAATCGGTCCAGTCGTTTAAGAGAAGTTCAGTGACATACACACTCACAGAAGAATTATATATATAAAGATATAAGCTTTGTAAGCAACACTTATTCATAAATACGATATCTGTAATTATGAATGCGTCAGGCGAGTGAACTTGTCTCAATGAAATCCACCATTTGATATTTATGTAAATAAATATCAACCGAGGGACCTTTCACAGTTATAACGACAAAATAATTCAATTAAGTCATAATGTTTTTGATATTATCATAGTAACCCAAAAACTTATAAGACTGTAAAATACTTAAAGTACATAAAATAGGTGGTATAAAAAAATCGTAGTGAGGATGTGGAAAATTGTATAATTTGTCTATTCATTTCAATAAAATATATTAAAATGAAAACTACAACATTCGTCGATTCTAGTTTTCACTTTCGTGGCGGCGCGGTCCGAAAAAGACTGAAGATATTATGTGCACCAACACTGAAGCGAGTAGCATCTCCGTAGCAATGTAGACAGTCGGCGAGCGCATCTTTTCCATATAACATATACTAAATCTAAGATTTGTTAGCTATATCATTTACCAGGAATGGATCAAGGGAGCGGAATGATGGTAGGAATGGGAATGCGCGATGGGTGCAGCGTACACGCTGTGTGCTACGGGAGCCACGACCGAGTGGGAGACAACGGCAGGGCTAGAGCGCACATCCACGCGGGACTGGTGGGACACGGCGGAAGGAGCTACAGCGACCACGGGGGCGGCGTGAGCGACCACTGGGGCGGCGTGAGCTATCACGGGGGCAACCACGGAGTGAGACACTACGGCAGGGCTAGTGCGCACATCCACACGGGACTGGTGAGACACGGCAGAAGGAGCCACGGCGAAAACCGGAGCAGCATGGGCATGGACGGGAGCGGCGTGAGCGACGACTGGAGCAGCGTACGCGAGGTGGCCCAAAGAGCGCTTCTTCAGCAAGTGTCCGAGTCCATGGAGTCCGTAGGAGTGGCCAAGAAGAGGTGCGGCATAGGCGGAGTGCGCGAGCACGGGAGCTGCGTGGGCAACCACAGGGGCAGCGTGCGCGACCACGGGAGCGACCACAGAGTGAGACACCACAGCAGGGCTAGAGTGAACATCCACACGGGATTGGTGTGACACGGCGGAAGGAGCTACGGCGAAGACGGGAGCGGCGTGAGCGATGACGGGGGCGCTGTAGGCGAGGTGGCCTAAAGAGCGCTTCTTCAGCAAATGTCCGAGACCATGGATTCCGTGACCGAGGAGAGGTGCAGCGTAGGCGGAGTGCGCGACCACAGGTGCGGCATGAGCTACCACGGCGGGAGCGATAACGGAGTGTGCGATGGGCGCGTAGTGGCCCTCCAGAGCCTTAGCCTGAAGGTGCAGGGCGCGCGCTCCGATGACCTCAGCGGTGTCGAGCGGGCGGCCGTGGGGGTCCAGCACCACGGCGGGGTGATGCGGGGGCTGAGCCAGCGGCACCAGGGAGCCGCACGCCGCCGCCACCAAAGCGAACAACACCACCATCGATTTCATTGTGAACGTGGTCTGTGTTGTGAATCAACGATATACAAGATCACTTCAAACCGTTAAGCGGCTGACTGATACTACTTACTCAACACACACGCTTTTTATACTATGAGCGTTGAAATAATTAGCTTAGTATATTACGACTCTTAAATTATTTGTGAACCGACATGCAATGTCAAGTGTCAGGTGAAAGTAACGGGCCTTGTACCTTGAGTAGCTTTTGCGCACTGATTGAGCTTATTTCCGACTTCTTTTTCCATAGTAATGATTATTTTTTCCTTAAATGTTATCAAAAATCCGATACAAACTTTACGTTATAATCAAATCTAAGATAAGCATTAGTTACCTCTACGAATTTACATTAGCAGGTTAAATCTATATTTTATTTTTATTTTTTTCAAGAATTAGAATTCATTATAATTTCTCCAGTTCTAAACTGTCTGGAGCTAGACTGCAACCATGCTGCGATATAACTTCTAAGTATAGTAACTTCATCCCACTGTACATGTCAAAAAAACTGATGCCTTTCCTTAAATTAATACAGATTTTTTTATTGTAATTGCTCACCTATTTTGTATTGCGTAGTTTAAGCTATCTACTGACATTATAAAAAAATGTATCTATTATAATATGATAATCAAACAATAAAAGCATATCTAATAATAAATCAATTTCGGACTCAAGATACGACTAGTTAGTTATTAAGCTTCATTCAATTTGATGCTGTAACTTTGATATGCATTTATGATGTCTCTGAGCGCGGTTACTGTTACTAAGTAGGTGTGTTTAAATATAAATGTATCACATCACGTACACATCTCTGTATGGTTCACAGAAACTGAAAGTCACCTCACACTGTTATAATGGGGTGCGTTGTTTCTAAATTACTCACAAGTGATGGTTTAGGCTAGAGCCTAAAACATCAACTTCCAATAACTACCTGGTATTTATATGTGAAGCATCTTTTCTGCCCTACCAAACGCAAAAGCGGTATCTCAAAATAAAACAAAAAAAATGATTTGTATGGCATCGGATAGCTTAGAAAAAAAAGTATCTATTGAACTAAGTCTTCTGGCGGTATGTTATTTAAAATGTATTAAAAAAACGTTAAGAAAGTTTTCTCTATCTAACTTAAATTACTAAGGATATTAGAGGTATATCAATATAACGTAGTCAACCAGCTGTATATTTGAATAATCTCTTAAAAAAACAGGAGCATTTTACGTTTTACGGAAAGATGACAATCTATAAATTAACGATAAAGCGTATTTTAGATAACGTCAATTATCTCCAAACTAGCTTTCACTGAGATACCGCCTTTGTGCTTAGTAGGGTAGTATTGCAAATTTACTTATATTATGCACCGTATTTTTTTTTCAATATTTGTGAGCACTCAGGTCTAATGGTCACTCATACGACACGACTAAAAGGTAATGTTATTTCACTCTAGACTGTTATTGGAGAAAACTATAATATAAAGGATTTTAAGCGGTGCTTTAATTCGATCGGTATATCAATGGGTTTGCATGAAAATGAAGTAGGGCGTAATAAGGCCCTTCTTCGTTTCACTAGATATTTCTCTTTGGACAAGACAATTCCTATATGTCCATAAAGAATGAGTATTGTAAAATAACCCCCTGAAATAAAATAGAGAACTAACCATTGTATTTAACTATTGGCTCGCCCTCGCTTTGCTTTACTGTAGAGTTCATAGACTTGTATAATAAATAAATAAATATTTCCAACACCCACACCTATTAGCGTAGCCCCAAACTAAGCACTGCAGGCTCGTGTAAATATATAACTTTATTTATGTAGAAATATATACTAAACATCCATGGCTGGAGTTTAGTATACATTTCCATATATTTCAAATGCTCGTATTCATCACACAAACTCACCCCATGCCCCCACCGGGATTCGAACCTCTCGAGTAGGCGACAGCTTGAAACCCAGCGTACAAACCATTCAGCCACGGATGTCGTATAATCTTTATATATAAAATTCTCGTGTCACAATGTTATTTACCATACTCCTCCGAAACGGCTTGACCGATTTTTATGAAATTTTATATGCATATTCCATGGGTCTGAGAATCGGCTACTATCTATTTTTCATATCCTTAAGTGATAAGGGTTGTGTACCTGTAACGTAGTGTTCTGAAACCTACAATGCGCCTTCGCGCCAAAATTCAAACTGTTGGGTATTGTAACGTAGTGTTCTCATATGGGTTAGGAGGAATGTTATCCCAGGAAATTGATGGAACACTACGTTACACACCCCTAAAAACTTTTTTTTGGACAACATTTATTAATTTATTATGTGGTATTAAACAATACATATAACCCTATAATACTTGCATATTATAAACGTATCCTGTTGTTTTCTTATTTTATTAGATGATCTCGCACATACAGGCTGACAGACGGGGGCGGAACCACAGAGCATAAAGGAGTAAAGTAACGATACTAAAGAAATATTTGTTAGTTATGTATTTAAATATAAAAAAAAAATATGACGTGGCGTGATGTCTATGTCCCCTATTCTTAAGTATTTTACTTATATATTTAATCATAATTAGTAGTACACACTGACTGCCTTTTCAATATGCTATGAAGAAATTTCAGATTGAAATAAGCTGTGCCCTTGTACTATTATCTTATTTTGTAATCTCTTTATATTTATATTTGTGTGTACAAAATGTATAAATAAATAAATAAAAAAATGACACATAAATATCATTTAAACGAGGCCGAACAAATTCGCCGTACCTACTACCTGATATTAAAATTAAATGTGACGAGTTCATTTGTGAAGAAAGGACAGCTAACTCGGCACAGAAGTTTTTAAAAATTAACTTTTATTTAAATGCTCCTAAAATATAAATGATAGAACACAAATTTTAGTTTATTCGTATTCTTCTCAATAAACCCTTTTCTTTCATACCCATATATGGGTGTGTAAAAAAAATATTACTAATTCGCAATCATGGGCTACCCTATTGGATTTAATTAGAATAACGTCTCTTAGCTAACCATGCAATACTATCTTTTGCAGATCACGTTTGTTTTTTTATGATTTCCGTAGCTTATTACAATAATTTAAAGATGCACATTAACATTGTAATATTATCTGTTTCCATTCCATTAATTAAAATGTTTAAACGTAATTTTGATGTGGTACAAGTGGGTAATAAATTGATTATTGTATTTACTATTATAAATAGCTGGGCAACTCTTGTAAAGAGAAAAGAATGGATCCTTTGCTGACTCATTTCTACGCCGTAGTATTCGTAAGTGGAATTCATGCCCGCGCACGTGTAAATTTCTACAATCTGGGGTCCTTCCAAGGAGGCGTGAAGAAGTAGGTATTTGTGCAAGACGGCAATGTGAGGATGGTTGGCTTGGCAGTTCATAAATAATGCTCTTGCTATCTTCGCGTTTATTTGGATTAACCACTTAACATCAGGTGAGGTCAGCGGCATTTATTAATTAGCCTAGTACCCTTTTTACTTAGTTACAAGATAACTTATATACGTATTTAAAATAAACATCCATAATAGGTATGACATACCACAGAAATTTACCAAATCTGAGATTCAAATCTGGAGCCGCTGGATTCGCTTAGTACTTAGGTTCACTAAAAGCTAGGCCAGGTAGGCCGCCAAAATGACCGGAAACACAAAGGACCTCCGATCTGTAATTTAAGAGTCTAGATTTATTGTCTATGTATGTATGTACGTTAAAGCTTATACTATTCGTGATTGGTGCTCGTTATATTTTTTTTTTCACTTCCTAGTTGGTGTTGAATGGATAAACACTAATTTGGATCTATCGTTATTAGGTAGTCAGACCAGAACAGGTTGTATTAGAATGTGATAAATCAATAATGTTTTGCATCTTATTGCTTTTGTATACATACTTTGTACGAGGAGCTCGATGGCGCAAGTGGTTAGCGCGTTCCGCTGCGATCGTCGAATTTAAGCAACTTTCGCAGTGGTCGGTCATTGGATGGGTGACCGAAAATTTACTAACTCGAGCTCCTCCGTGCTTCGGAAGGCACGTTAAGCCGTTCGCGTTGGTCCCGGCTGCATCTGCAGTCGTTAGTACCCACCAACCCGTACTGGGCCCGCGTGGTGGGGTCATGGCCCAATCTCCCTATTCCATCCATAGGGAAGGCCAGTGCCCCATCAGTGGGGACATTAATAAGCTGATGATGATACATACTTTACTGCACTTGAGCAGAAATAGCCGCGTGGCTACTCATAAATCAACAACACTAAATTTTGTAGAAGCACATTATAATATTTGGTGGTTGAACACACCAATTTGTAATATTATTTATTGCATAAATAATAAATATAACACTGATTTGTGTAAAAAAAACTTTAGTAAAAACCGTTTAACAATTGGTAAGTTCTTATTACAATGCAACCAAAAATAATCAATACCCGCCGTGGTAATTGGAGTACTGCGCCTCAGCGCTTATTTTAAATTAATTAATTATGTACCTATTTATTGATTTCATAAAAAAACAATTAATAAATAATGAAAAATATGAAATTTAATAAAAAAATCCACACACACATATTATGTATCTCAAGGTACGTACTCAGTTAAGTACGCACACGGCGGGTCGTTACGTTCCCTAAAATATGGTAGAGCAAAGCGATGGCTGGTTCATGCGTCATGCTCGTGGACGGGTGCTGCCAGCGGAGATGAGTCTGCCCTAACTACTTTGATATTTAAGATGTAAATGTCTAGTTAGACCTAATATAAATAACACTATTTGTATTTATACTGTATGAGACAGCAATCAAAATGCAGGTGAACAATTAATGTATAATTTCACATTATGTAATGAAAGGTGACTTTCATGAATCCCCTCAGAAGTCATTTTTCAACTTGACGACTCTGTAAATAATAAAACAGGGAGAAAAAAAACAGCCTTTGCTGAGTTTCTTGCCGCTTATCGGGGCCCTGCCGTAGATTTACGAACCGATGGCGTAGCTTCTAGACATTCATGCAAGGGCGGATCCAGCTTTGGCGCCAGGGGGGGGTCATATAACCAGCTTTGGCACCAGGGGGGGGGGGTCATATAGTCGTGATATATTAAATATTGAAAGTTCTTAAATAAAATCCCCCTGGGTTTGGTCCATCTGTACCCATCTGAATCCACCCTTGCATTCATGAGTGCTTGTAACAGCCTAAACTGAATAAATGATTTTGATTATTATTATGATTTCATCAGTCACGCAAGTTCTGTGCGATTCTGTAAAATAATCCTCATTTGATACTACTGCATAACTTATTTCTCTATATTGAGAAATTTAATGTTCTTTCATCATATTTAAAAGTCATTATTGAAATACAATTTTGATACTACTTAACTTCATAAACATTTTGTAAGGAACTGCTTCTTTTGTTTATTTATGAGAAATGTCGTTTTTATTTGTGTCTGCACTTTTATCCAAAAACCAGTATTTAGGATTTAGTTGCTACAAAACATCTTGATACCCTTTAATGCTGAAGAAAATATCAAAATAAAGTACATAACATAACTTAATCTCTTCTAAAGACGAGATTGGCGAGATCTATTTCATAACAAAAAATTGTGCATTTGAGTGAGTCCAACTCCCAGGATGATTTAGATTCACAACTGAACCATGATGGTGCAATTGTAGCCGTCCACAAGTCTATGTTTAAAGTAAAGTGTTTCTCAATTAACAGTGCACTTTTTCATTTTAAAATAAAAACAAATTGTTTTTGAGAAAGTTGTGATATTTTTAATGGATTGTAAAGAATAAAATGGAATAAAATATATTACAAATGGCCTAGCCTTAGGGCTCTGATGACAGGCCATTACTCATTTCATGGAATTTTCATTCTTTTTCACAGACACGTTGCTGTATCTTACCGAAGACGCGTTGGATCTAGGATTTTATTCCATACTTAATCGGAAAATGTCTTCTTTACAATCCAACAAAACACATATCAAAACTTTCTTAAAAAAATACGTTTTATTATTTTAAAATGAAAAAATGATCACTCATTCAAACACCCGTAACATACATATTGCTATTCCCGTATCTCTTTATACTTAATCCATTTTACAGGGATAAAAATATAGGCTGCAATTTATCTGTGCTCAACTATCGCAACCTTGTATATCAAATCGTTTCGTTTCTAAATGATATTAATACAGTTATTCATAAAACAGCAATACGTTTTCTTATCCTTGCTGAAATCTCACAAGAGCTTTTTTGTAAATAAATGGAAAATAATCTTACTCATATTATAAATGTGAAAGTTTGTATGTTTGTTACTCAATCACGCAAAAACGGCTGAACGGGTTTGAATTTTGATACACATATATTTTATGGCCTGGAATGAGACATAGGATACTATTTATCCCGGAAAATGTGAGGTTCCTGGCGTATTCTACAAAAACTATAGTTAACAAGGATGAAGTCACAGTGTCATATAAAAAAAAACAGGTTAAGTACGAGTCATAGCTAAGGGTCGTACGATCAAAACATAATTATTATCAAGCCATTGCCCCATACATAAAACTTTGTAAGCTTCTTTTTTTTTTACCTTATTTTTTTTTGGTTTAGTGGTGGAATAGGAATCGGTATTTAGTAAAAGGATAAATTAAGACTTAGTAAAAGTTTAGTAATAGTTAATATTATCACTCTTTAAGCACGGAACCCTTAAGATCAAGCAGCAAGGCAATCAGTTCGTCGTCATGTTGATCGAAGCAGTACGTAATAATAGACCAGATTTTTATTATGTTATAAAACAAAAACAAATAGATATATATCTTAGCACCCATAGATTAATGATTGGTCTCTCTAGAAGTGAGATCAATCATTAATCTATGTTAGCACCATTAATTAGCTTATTACTCCTTTCTTAGGTAAACAGTCCTAACCTACCACCTGCTTTAATGACTTGGGTATAAATGTAATCGCAATTTAATACTTTTCAAATATTTATTATTATTTTTTTTAATATATATATTTACATGTCTCTTTAAATTCCTATTGGATCCTTAACACTATAATCACCAGGCGTAAACAGAATTAGCCAGAAGAGATCGGGCCGCTACAACAGCCGGCGCAGCTACCACATGTTCTGACACCACAGCTGGCGACGACTGGACATCCACGCGAGACTGGTGAGACACCGCGGACGCGCCACTGTACACGGTAGCGGCAGGGTATACGGAACGAGCCACCACAGGCTGGGCGACTACGGCTGGAGCAACCACTGGAGACGCGGCAACCACGGCGGGGGACGAGCGCACGTCAACACGGGACTGGTGGGACACAGCACCGGCTGCGTACACAGCTGGAGCGTACACGGAGCGAGCTTCCACCACGGGAGCAGCGTACACGGAGCGAGCTTCCAGCACAGGAGAGGCGGCCACCACGGCAGGAGAAGACTCGATGTCAACGCGAGATTGGTGCGACACAGCTGAGCCGCCGACGTACGTTGTGGCAGCTGGGGCGTACACGGCGCGTGCTTCAACCACTGCAGGCTCCACTATCACTTGCTCAGCTGCCACCACAGGCGCGGCAGCAACCACTGCGGGCGAAGAACGTACGTCCACCCGCGACTGGTGTGACACCGCCGCCGGCACCGAGTAAGACACCAAACTGGGCTTCGCCGTCACAGCGGCGACCACAGCGAACAACACCACCAACGATTTCATTGCGAACGAGGTCTGTGTTGGGATCCGAACAAGGAAGATCACTTCGTACCGTACACGGTCGACTGATGCCAGATATGAAATCGTCCTGCTATTTATACATTATGATAAATCTAGCGAGATGCTGGCCGCCTAATGTGATCGTCCTTGCGCGTTCTAGCCGAAATGAGCCACTAAAGGTCGTACTATATCTCGTTACAGCAGGTACTAAAATTACGGTAGTAGTAATGGATAGTTGACATTTTGACGATGGCATTAACTGACGACATAGTAGGCGGACAACGCAAAAAGCTGATTACTAATTGTGATCTAAAAACACTTCGCCAAGGGCGTCCAATATCCGCTTTACATCCGCAATAAATCTGCGACAAATAATAAATCGAGCCGACGTCTTTAATAATTTTATAAGTAGCAATTAAGTTTTAATTGAATAAATCTACATATCCAGTTGATTGAGATTTTTCTGACGAAAAAAAACAGTTTTCCTTCTTGAGGATCAATAAAGGGGAAATCAATTGAAAAATCTACTTACAATATATCCAAGTTACTAGGGGGTGCTTGCGAGTTCGTTAGCTTAATGCGAGTAGACGAAGTGTAAACATAGATCTATTTATATCCAAGATTTCCTCCATTCCGCACCCAAATTCTATTATTTTTTTAAAAATACCGTAGTTTTATGGACCGACCGCATGAATAATTATAGTATGGATGTGCTAAACAAATAGAAAGGTAACATTTTTATTTTATTTCTTAAGCATGTAACTGCTTGATGTTTAAATCTAAAAAAAATATAACTAGAAAAAATCCACGCGGACTAGGCAGCAGATGGAACTCGAACCCGCACCCTTCGCTATCCGGGCGAATGCACTGAACAATTATGCTACCGCGGCCCTGACGGCCGCGTCGCAATTGTCGCCGTTTGAGCTGCCTGGAACACCCCTTCTTCTCCATGTTAGCGGTACTGGTCATTTGGCTAAAGTCAACGTGGGCTTCTATAGAACCCACACCGGCGACGCTGAGACAACTAGACTCCTTGACCATCTTAGTCGAAGTCGGGCAGCAGATGATGCCCAGGCGCAATTTCCCAACTGGTGTTTTTGGGAGACTTTAACGCCCACCATGGTTTGTGGTTAGGCTCCTCCAAAACTAACCATGCAGGGATATCTGCCCATGGATTCACTCTCACGCATGATTTGACACAACTGGTCGATCTGCCCACCAGGATCCCAGATATCCTTCAAGCAAGCAAGTCAAGCGCCTTCTTTACTAGACCTTCTGCTTACGACTCATCCACAGGAGAATCAGGTTATGGTTCAAGCCCCACCGGATTCATCAGATCATTGCCTGATATCTGCCAAGGTGCCACAGGCCAAAACCCCTCGACCATTGGTAGTCAAACGTAGGGTCTGGCACTATGGGTCGGCAGATTAGGATGGTATGCGCGACTACTTTGCTTGCGTCCCTTGGAAGCAGCGCTGCTTCAGAGAAAAGTACCTATCGGCCAGCTATTACTAAGGACATCGTAATGGGAATGGAGTTTTACATTCCACATTCTGATCTCATCAGTAAGGGCACACGTAACCGCTGCTTCAATCGCGACTGTGCTGATGCTGTTTCTCGTAAGCAGGCGGCATATCGCGCTTGGATCAGAGTCCGCGCTCCTAAGTATATATATATAAAAGTGCTTCGAAATCTAGCAAGGAAGCTTACATCAGAGCGGATGCCCAAAGTGTTGCACGAACTGGCCACGAATTATTAACGCACCCTACGGGCTCCCGTAGTTTATGGTGTTTGGCCAAGGCCATGCAGCACAACTTCTGCGAGCTCTCGCTGCCACCTCTGCGATGTCCACTAGCTCATAAGCCGCATGCGAAAGTCGATTAATTCGCAAAGATCTTTTTCGGCTAACTCCCGAATCGATGATTGCAATGCACTGCCTCCTACAATACCTCATTGTGGCACCACGACGCCTGATATCAGGCAGCGTGATGATCGTGCGGAGTTGCAATTAATCGATGTCCGGAAAGCTAGTGGACCCGATGGCATCCCAGCAGTTGTACTGAAACATTATACAGCTCAGTTGTCTCGCGTGCTTACGCATCTTTGTAGAAACTCTGCAACTGGTACCCAAAAAGGGGGCTCAGACCCGGTCAGCTATCGGCCGATAGCTGTCACCTCAGTGTTGTGTAAAGTCTTAGAAAGGGTCCTTAACAACCACCAAAACTGGTTTAACAAAGTTTAGGAATGCCGTGTCCTGCTGTTTAGGCAAAAAAAAATGAACGATTAAAGTTTAGTACAACGATTAATAGTATCCAATGAAGCAAGAGCAGACTCATCTCCGCTGGCAGCACCCGTTCACGAGCATGACGCGTGAACCAGCCATCGTTTCGCTCAACCATATTTTAGGGAACGCAACGACCCGCCTCACACGACATCGCCGAAGAGATTTTTAAGAGAGCATGACTACCCATAACCACTCAAACCAAACTGCAAAATAGTTACTTATAGTTAAGGTAATTTATCTGTACGACACTGCAAACAAATACAAAACAATTTTGCAGTTCCAGCCATGCAGTTTTGTCATTCAAGTATTCTTTAATAGTATAATAGCCTTTCTTAATTAAACAACTTTTAATGTGACATTTGAACTCATTTATGGGTAACTCAAGAACAGCATCAGGAATTTTATTGTAAAAATGTATACCTTGACCCAAAAAAGATCGGTAAACCTTCTGTAACCTGTAGGATGGCAATGCAAGCTTGTTTATATTTCTTGTATTAAAATTGTGCACGTTACTGTGTTTGGTATACAAATTGATATTATTTTTAACGAGGAGTATGCAATTGTAAATGAATTGAGAAACAACAGTCAAAATGCCAATTTCCTTAAATTTTTCTCCAAGAGATGTTCGGCTACTCAATTGATAAATAGATCTCACAGCTCTTTTTTGTAAAATGAATATACTTTCAATATCAGCTGCTGTTCCCCAGAGTAAAATGCCGTATGATAAGATACTATGAAAGTAACTAAAATATACAGTCCTGGCAGTATCTATATCAGTAAGTTGTCTTATCTTTCTTATGGCATAAGCTGCTGAACTAAGGTTACCAGCCAAAAGCGTAATGTGATGACTCCATGTCCATGATCATCACTTAACATCAGGTGGGGTAGAGTTATTTGCCTACCTGGCTATAAAAAAAACAAAAAGTGAAGTTAATGATGTAGGTAGTGTCCGAGAATCTTTATGCTATCATCCAAATTAAATTCTCTGTACTTTTCAATATATTTAAGATTTTCTAGCGATTTGTCTTCAAATGTAATTTGTAGTCGGTTCTTGATTCAGCAATATTTTACTTGCGTGGGATATGATTGAGAAAGGTTTGATAATTCTCACATTTACGTATAAAGCCTTTCAGCCTATTTTATTTCACCTGCATTTGATTCACCTATTTTATTTCAGTCTTTGGACTGAGCTATGGAGTTTGTTGTATTGTTTTGACTAAGCACAGAGCCCACTTTCTTTGTGGCGATTTCTTTTCGTTATGGCAGATAACGTTTCATGGCTCATTCATTCGGATTAAATTAGTAGGTCCTTGATGCTTGCGAGTACCCTGTGCTAACTCTTTTGCTGTCTCCTTGGCCACAAAGGTCAGTTCTTCTTATGAAATGTTTGCTGATTCGAAAGGATAGGTCCTTTCGACGGTTTCGACCTTTCCAAGGTAACGCAGACATGGGTCTACCAACCTAAACATATTTTCTCCATTTCTGCAGGAAAATCGATGCACTTCTATTGTGATCTGTGTTTCTGTTATCTTAATCGGATTTTTATTGTTATTACTTATAGTTAATGGTCACAGTTTGATAAAGAGACAGAGCTGATAAAAACCTATCTGCGAACGATATATCACAATGTAGATTGACAATTTTGTCAATAAAAATTAAATTGCAGAAAACATCGACTTTGATAACTTCATGCCAACGCACGGACTTCATGGAAACGCTAAAAAAATGTTTTTTATAAGTATTTTCATTATCTGCTTGGCGCGGCTAGCCGCGTTGGCCGCGTTGCTCTATGGTTTGAATTACAATTAGGGGAAGTTCCAAAATCCATCAGATATTTCACAGATTCAGATATTAAGCGACTGTCAAAAACACTAATGTTTTCATAGTGCATGTGTATGTGAGAATGAATATGAATTTCATTATTCCACCTGAACTTTTAAATGTTTGAAACACTGAATGTCATTAAACGTGTAAGGCATGTATTTCTATGTCTATCAATCGATTCAATTCTTTATTGTATAATATTCTTACACCACCAAGAGCGACAACGGATATAAATTATTGCCCTATCAAAAAACTAACAGCAAAAATAAAACAAGTTTAAAGCAGTCATTTCTGTCAAGAAATCTTTATGATCACTTCGACCCCAATCATACTTGCTCTTTGACTCCAATGACTATTTTATACTTATGTTTTGGCTTTTCAAATCAGTTTCTTCTGATGGCAGTCATGATTTTTTGAAGTGAAAACTTCTTTAGCGGCGTTGTACACTTTTTTTCGTATGGGTAAAAAATGTTAAACACGAGTCATGACACGTGGGCTGATCACATCACAGTCCACGTGTCCTGATCGTAAGACGAAAACAATAAAATTGGAAAGGTTGTTAATATATTGGACGAAACATAGTAATATTTTATTTTATCGTATTATAATAATAAGTCTGTATCTAGGACGTCCAGGTGGCAGCTATTGCAAAGAAAATGCATTTTTTTTTTACAATAGATGTCGCTAGGTGCGCTTAAATGAGAAATTATGAGAGATAAACTTTTTAATGTAATATAAATTGTCATGTTTGTGTACGATAGCGCAGTAAATAAATATTGTATTCTACCTCATAAATGTTAGTACTTTTATACTGATAATTAAAGAAATTCGTGCAAAATGATTCCCTAATCATTCCAAAATATCAAAAATGCACAACGTTAATATTCAAGTTTTCACTTCGGCCGGCACTCTCGGAGTGCAAGCCGTCGTTTTTTTTTAACTTTTATTTTCTTATTAAAATATTCTGCTGTCATGAAACCTTCGCAATGGTGGAATATAGGATCCACGCAAGGGAACGTTAAGTTGTTGGTCTCAACTGCATCTGCAG